GATCTCTTCAAGAGTTTCTTACTGAAATTTTTCAATCTCTAGGGATCTTTGGCATGCTTAAAGACTCGTGGGTATATGGTGATCTATGGCCTGGCATCTGGTGCACCGGATCCAGTTCCTGTGTTAACGCTTTGGGAAAAATCTTTGTTCTTGACCTTTCCTTCCTTTGCACATCACACTGAAACCCGAGAGGAGCTGCTTGAAACTGCTAATGATGTATTTGCAAACGTTGCATTAGGTGTCTTGCGAGTTCGTTTGAATCACAAGTATCCTTTATCTGAAGCAGCACAGGCACATGCAGACCTAGAGCATCGAAAAACGTCTGGATCAATAGTGCTGATTCCATAAGACAACAGAAGTGGAACCACAAGTTTCATGTACCAATAATGCTAGTAATGCGCAAATGTCCTAAATAAATGCTATGACATGAGAAAATCTTTAGTGCAATGGGGATACCACGTCAGCGCCTTAGCGGTATCTCTGTTCAATACTTTTGCACTAGAGGCTTTCTCCTATGGCATGAAGCATAATCTTCTTCCTAAATCAATTCTATTATGTTATAATTACAAATTATAATCAATTCTACCATGTTATAATTACAAATTACTATGTTGTGCAATCCGCTATAAAATATCAAAATTTCCTTTTTCCCCTTTATTTTCCTTAAATTTTGCTCAAATCAAATGGGCTCTAACAACCGATGAGGACCCTTAAATGTGGGGCTGTAACATTTTTTTCCTTCTATTTTATGCATCTCAACATATCAAAAACTACATAATATGTTTGTCATTAAATCTCCAACCCACTACATAAACTCATGCAATAATAGCAGCATATAGTTTTGAACTTCTAAGGGTGTCAATATATGGTTGAAATATAAATGGAAATCAAAGGAAAGTAGAAACCTCAAATCATGATCCATGGGCTCCGAATCTTCAGTTTGAGCATAGTCTGTTCCAGTACTTGATCTAGCATCAATTAATACCAACAAAAAACAATAATATTTTAGAAATCAAGCTGTATATTTGATGCAATGTCACCAGAAATTTTTTTTTTTTTTTAAATAGAAAAAGGAAGACCACTTCAAGGTCAAGGGAATTATTAATGACACATTTTACATTATGATCCCTCAATAGAAAAATAAGCTTTTTTCATATATTCTTGCTTAATCATACTATTGTTGATGGTATTTCTGTTCCATGGTTTATGATGACTTCCATTGGAATGACAAAGGTGGAAAACCTCCAAGATGCCATTTCTCAAGAAGTTCTTCCCTAATGTATATGGAAGAATGAAAGAAGACACAAATATTAGCAATTAAAGCAAATTTGGATAGCCAACTTTTTAACCTCATCTACGTCTACATTGCTAGTGTTGCTTCCTTCTTTGCATCGCTTGTAACTAGCTTCTTTGCACACAAGCCATAAGACTTGATGAATCCACTATAATGCCAATAAATGAAAGTAAAATAGGCATGTATCCAAATCATCCATCACCAAAAGGTATAGGAGGCCAAATGAATATGGGTTTAAGAAAAAAAAATGGGGAGAAAAAGGATAAGTGAGCAGTGGTGTCAAATTATTTTCTTCTTTTCCTCAAAAGACCCAGATTCAGGATTAATAAATGAAAGCAAAGCATCATAAAGCAATCAATTACCAATCCGCAAAAAAGATTTTCAAATAAAACACTTAAGAACAACACATATGCCACACAAAAGAGACAGAGAAGACTATAACCTTAAAAATGCTGGATTTGGAAAGCCTTTGCACATTCATAAGCCCTTACAGCATAAATAGGAAGCACATAACATGAAGATACACACAATCACATAACTAGATCATACTCATAAGTTTTCAAGATGAATATTTTCCATGATTCCAAAAGAGAATATTTGCGATCTATACAGAAACCCAGTTCACCTGTGTTTTTGAGTAGTGAGGCAGAAACTAAAACATAGCCTAACCAAGAATTGATCCAGCACCTTTTTTGCAGCAGTAATACCAAAAGTATGAAAATAAACCTAAACTTGTGTACTGAAATTATTAACTCCATCAAAACTAACATAGACTATACATTATTCAAAATCTGTGCAATGAAATTCAAACTTACATAAAGTATACATGATACCTTAAGATTGGCATCCATTGATCACATCTCATTCGTCATCAATGTCACTTGAAATTTCCTCGCTGCTGTTCTGATCCATTGCCAAAATTTCTGAAATCCCTCCTTCCGCAGCCACCACCAGCATATCTTGATAAAAGGATTTCTCCTGTACCATAATTATCCATTTCAGCTGCCCTATGGTCGCTCAATCAAGATATATATACTCCAAATCACACTTCTCCTTTACTCAGAAGATGAACAAGTGATTTCTGAACCTTCTAGATAGCTCCACTCCATGCGCGACAGAGTGTCAACATAAACTGAAGTGCAGAGACATACTAAGTTGCTTTTCGAAAAAAAAAAAGAGAAATACTGAGTTCACATTTTGCACTGTTCATTAAAGAATTTATTTCTACTGTCTTTTTTCTATTATTCTCCATAGATAGAAATCAACAATGAAATTACCTGCAAGCTATGAATCCAACATGACAAACAGCTGCCTTGGTCAGAGTTCCAATGCATATGTTGACATCTCTTTCACAATTAATTTCTTCGGCCACTCCCCCACCATTCTTGCCACAAACAAATGTTCCATGTGCCTGAGAGGCAGTTTGACCTGAACCCCTAAAAAAGGTCAAATTCAGCATCAGCTTCTCCATCTCTAGAGACAATCTCTTCTCCTATGCAAAGAAAGAATGAAATTTAAGAGTACTGACTTAACTTCTGCTGGATAAAGTTCATTCATTTGCCCATTTGCCCATTTGCCCATCTCAAGAAGGGAAAAAACCCGAATTCAAGAGTGCAGAATGCAATCCTTGAGCACCAGTGCCAAATTCAATTGTACAGCCACAATTATAATTTGGGCATCCCCATTTTTCCTTTCTCTTCCCTGGTTGTCACTAGAATGCAGGATGTAAACACAGAATGAAAACGATAGGAAAGAAAACAGAGGAAAAGTACCAGTACAGGGACTGGGAAGGAATGTCGGGAAGCCATTTTTGTGGGAAGAGGGTTCCGAGATTGAGACTTCACAACTGGGGATCCATTCCAACGTCGAACACCTCGTAAAAACTTGATGGGAGGGGTGAATGGGTCTTAGAGAAGGACAGCAGCTTCAAAGATTCAAGCTTTGAAACTGCTTCTTCTACCCAGGACTTCTTCATTTCCTACAGATTACAGAATAGTTGTAGACTTAGAGTTATACTGCCAGGCTTCTGATAGCTGAAGTAGGTTTTTTTTTTTTAAGGTACTCAAGTTTTTCTCTTTGTAATCATGACTTGCACAAGAAAAAAATAATTTTTATATATATTTTTTAACTCACTTTTCACTCATATTTAAAATATTTTAATTAAACAAATTACTATTAAAGTGTTTAAATCATTAATTTTATATCTTAAGTTGAGGGTAATTTTTATTTGATTTTTCTATTAGGGGGCTAAGACTACACGTTAAAATATATTTATTATATTTTTTAATTATCAATTTATATAAAAAATTATAAAAATAAATTTTATTTTAATATTAATGTTACGTGAAAGATTTTAATTAGATAAAACTAAAGTTAAAATTTTTTTCATATAATTTTTTAAAAAATTATTTTACAATTCAAATTGTATTAGATTGTAAAATATAAATTTTATATAGATGTGGGCTCTCATAATATTGAAGACTTTTTCCATTCAAGATTCTTTATTATAATGTTTGAATAGTAAAACAACAAACTCAATAATTAATGATGAAAATATACAATAAATACATTCTTAACTTATGCTCTCTAGGCATGTTAAAAAATTTCTTTTTTATTTTACTCCCTTTATTTATTTAATAGTTTTATTTTGACATTTTAACTTTTAAAATATAGATTTTATATGAAAATTTAATAATTTATATGAATAATAATTAAAATTTTTTATATATAATTTTTGTTGAGTATTTTTATTTGATAAAAAATTTTAATTATAATTTATATAATATGTTAAATTTTTTAAAAAAATTTATATCTAACCAAATTAAAAAGTCATATTAAAACTATTAAAAATGATAAAAAGGAATATATGGTTAACGTTTTTGACTTTTTGAAGATTAAATTGAGGACTCAATTTCTTTAATAAAAATAAAATTATCCAATTGAGGACTAAATTGAATTTTATTGTGGAGATTGGGAAGCCAAATAATAAAAACATTGTAAATTTGTGGGAAAAAAATGTGCTTTCAGTGTCAATTGCACACAAAAAAATGTGTATGATGAAGCTTGGCACCATAACGACTCCGTAACCTGTATGGTAATAAAGAAGTCGTGGGTAGAAGAAGTAGTTTCAAAGCTTGAATCTTTGACAATTTCACAAACCCTTCTAATATTTAGTATAATATGAAGAAATCATAATTTACTCTTTTCTCTAAAACATAATATAACAATGATTTTAGTGAGTTCTTAATACTCAATATAAAACCTAGGTGGAAGAAGACTTGTTAATTTAGTGATCCAGCAGTTTAATATAAGTTTTATTTACCATGATAAGGATTCAATCCCTCTCTTCATCTCCCAAATCACTTGCCCTAATAAAAAAATAATAATAATAAAGCCTAAGTGAGTACACATTTACTTGTTGGATGTAATGCATATTTATGATAAGAATATATAATTAATAAATATTATCAATAAATTATTTTAATTGTTTTTAAATTTTTGTCCTTTTAAAATTATTTAATATACTTCAAATTATGTTCAACTACACTAAATTAATTTTTAAATTAGACAAGTCTTTTAATAGTAAAAGATTTTTTTTTATACTAACATTTAATATTTAGAACTCACGATAAACTTCAATTAATTTAAAATTAAATTATGTCAAACTTATAAAATAAAAGGTTTTTTAGTGTCTGTTTCTATATTTATAAAATTTAAATTCAAAATTTTATTTAAAAATTTAAATCATTTTCATTTGAATTAATAATTTTTCGTCGGTAATATAAAAAATTGTTTGTTTTTCCTTAAAGTTCATTCTTCATTCCCTATCATTCAATATGGTTGGAATGTAAAAAAAAAGGCAGTCCTCTTTTTTTATTTTTTTATTTTTTTATTTTACGTCAATTGAGGTTTTTCGTTGATAGGAACCAAGTTCACAGCCAATGGCTTCTACCCAAGTCAGCAAAGTTACATGTATGACGACGTGGCAAAATATTATTGGTTGCTGTAACGATAATGAAAGCCCGAAACCATCGCTAACGTAACATAGGAAATCGAGACGTCGAGGGTAGAAACGTCAATTGACATATGCCGGGGACCAAAATCGAAGGAGGGAAAGGTCACGTGAGACGCAGCACGTCTGGTAATCATTACCTCTCTCCTCCTCTCTCGCTCTCTCGCTTTAAAATCGAAAATGCTCCATTCCGCTGTACACGAAATAACAGAAATTCCCCTCCAAAACGCTCTAGAAAATATCAGAGAAAAACAACCAAGCATTTTCTTGCTGCCCAAACAACCTCCATCTCGCAATCCTTCTCTTGATTCGATCTTAGTTTTTCGTGTTTTTGACTTGATTTGACCGCGGTACGATTACTAATTCGATCGATCCTTCAAGTGCTGGTGTTTGTAGCTAGATTCAGCTCAAGAACACCTTCCAGTTCATTAATTTGGATCGGAAAGGTATATCATTTTGATTTTCTCGTTTTTAAGTTAGTATCGATGACTCTGTTTCCTTTTTTTAAGTTGGTTTTGCGATGACAAATAACGAACTCCGATTCTCATAATTTTTTGCTCGTTTGGATGCCGAGAAACCACAGGAAAAGTTTTGGAACTGAATGGTTTTTCACATTTTCCTATGTTTTCTCTGTAACCAAACAGCTTTTCGGTACTTCACGCTTTTGGTTGACTAGCTAGTTTCTCTTTCCTTTGGTATTAAACTTTTGATTTCGAGTCATTTCCGTTATTGTAGTGTACACGAAAATTTGACTTGTTTGAATGCTTTCGAATTTTAGTAGAAACGATATATCATTGTCATCAGAAACTTGAAAAAACATCCGATTCTTTTACCGAATTAACTCATACAATCTTTGGCTTATACTCTTAGTATAGTGTAGTAGTACTGCAGCTTTCAGCTATATGGTTACAGCTTTTCATTTAAGTTGAGTTCAGGTCTACTGGATTTTCTATTTTAGTGCTTGAAATGTTTTCTTACTCTGCCGCCATATTTAATTCCTTTCTATTTGCAACCTCACCTTTACAGCTTTTTTTGGACCTTAATCCTGCATTTCCACGATCCTTTTTGTAGCATTTTCTCTCTGGTTTCGATTCAATCAATTTTTTTGTTTTTTGAAATAGCAGATCAGAATCGGAGATAGATCCATCGATCGAATCAATAACGGCGTCGGCGATCATGGAGGAAAGTTGGGGCAAACTCGATGATGAAGCAGCTATAAACCTCACTGTAAGCTCTCAAGCGCGCGCACGCTCTCGTAATTTCCACTTTTCTGTTACTCTCTGATGCGATTCTCTCTGCAAAACCGCTCCCACACACCCCTCCTTAACCCACGCGTCGTGCAAAAACGGAAAGAGCAACTGTTGTCTCCTTACGTGTATAGCACGCGCCTGCAAAATCGCGTGTTTCTTTTCCATTAGTAGGTTCTAGGCGAATCAGCAGCTTCATTCTGTTTTTACGTGCGGGCGGAAAATATTGTCACCGCTTGGAAACAAAAGACAGTTCTCTGATATTTGTCATCATTAACCGCATGAATGGGGATCACACCACATAAACATAATCATACATGATCAAATACATGGACTTATATATATTGTATGACTTTAGATTGGAAAATCATATATTTTTTATGATGTGAAATTGGTTTATGCATGTATTGAGAACAGGAGATGATGCATTTGAAAAGGCAAGGGCAAAGCAGCGAGTATGCCGCTAACAGACTTTGTTTGCACGGACAAGGACTGCCACCATCGCCTAATACCCAAGGTAACGGAGACATGTCGCCTTCTTTATCATATACTTTTACTTTTATGCCTTCGTTTCCCACCACCCCAAATTTTCTGGACTCTTGTGTTTTTCCATTGTAATGTTTCTGAAGATGTTTTTTAATGGAAACAGATGCTGCAGCTCACATCAAAGTGGGATCCTATTACGAAATCGATCACTCAAAGCTCCCTGCACAAACCCCAGATCAACTCAAGCCAATCCGGATCATCATGGTAAATACCCACAAAGAATTAATGAGCTCGCTCCAGTTGTTCGGTTAATTTGTTTTCATTTGTTATTCACACTCACGGGCTCTGTTTTTGTTGTTGTTTCAAGGTGAGCAAGAAATCAAAGTACAACGTGTCGCTGAGGTTCCCCAGCTTGTTCTCTCTCCGAGCTCACTTCAGAGATGAAAATCTAGGGAAGCCAGAGGGAAAGATGTTACCGTCTCTTGATGAGAAGTATGTTATGGGGTCGGAACTGGCCGGGGAAGTTCTCTACAGGAGAATCCGACCTCATGAAATTGCGGTTCAAAGAAACCTATGGAGCTTCTGGGTGGTTCCTTCATTAAGGAAGCCTTACAAAGATAAGCCCTGGTGCCTTAACCCAGCTATCAACACCTGCTATGTGAGCATGGTTGCTAAGAAGGGCTCGCTCTTGTCCGAGTTGAAATCCACAGGGATGATTAGGTGGGGCAAGCGCCGGCAGGTTCGGTTTTTGCGCCGACACGTTGAGCAGCAAAAGGAACAGATTAAGTCAAGCAACAGTAAAGATGAAGAGGAAGAGAAAGAGCTAGACAATGAACAATCTGAGGATGAGGATAAAGGGGAGGAGAAGGAAGAAGAAGAAGAAGAAGAAGAAGAAGAGACAACGTCGGAAAAGAGTGACAAAGAAAATGTGGAGACAGATGATGAATCGGATGAGAAGGGGAAGGCCCAGAGAAAGAGGAAGGTGCGTCAATGTAGCTACAGAACCGAAGAGACCAAGAAAGCAAAGCGTGTGAAGCAGAATCAAATCAATGCTTCGAAGCAGAGTAAAAGGAAAGTACTCAAGAAATCCATTAGCAGATGGTCTTTAGAGAGGTCAGTAGTATTGTTTATAATTTAGTTTGTCGATTCTAAATTTCTAATCAAATCAAGTTGGCTAGTTCTATTGATGAATGTTTACATATTTTTGAAGATATAAGTTAGCGGAAAGGAATATGTTGAAAATTTTGAAGGAGAAAGGTGCAGTGTTTGGGAACGCAATACTCAGGCCAGCTCTCAGAACAGAAGCTCGGAAGTTGATTGGTGACACCGGCCTGTTGGATCATTTGCTCAAGCATATGGCTGGAAAGGTGGCCCCAGGCGGAGAAGAAAGATTCAGGAGGCGGCATAATGCAGATGGGGCAATGGAGTACTGGTTAGAAAAGGCTGACTTGTTGAACATTAGGAAGGAAGCTGGGGTGCAGGATCCTTATTGGATTCCACCACCAGGATGGAAGCTTGGTGACCACCCTACCCAGGACCCTATTTGTGCCAGAGAGCTCAAGGAGATTAGAGAAGAGATGGCCAAACTGAAAAGGTTGGACGTTAATTTCTGTTCTTATTTGACCATTTCATTGTCAATTTTGATCGTTGATCTTTAAGGTGATATATCTATTTTAATTGTTTTCTTCATATTGTTTGCTAAAAAGAGAGGTGCAATACCTGGGGACCAAGAAGCAACAGGAAGATCTAGCTATTGTCTCCACCCCAGATTCTTCTTTAGCAAGTGAAATCATGGGGAATAATTCCTTATTACTTCCTTTGAAGGTACGATGCAGCAAATTTGACCACTTAATTTATCAACTCAAATTCTTTCTTAGCAACTTGCTTTTTCGTTTTACAGGAAAGGTATATTGATTTGGTGAATAAGAAAACTAAAATTGAGGAACAGCTTATGGAAATTTCACAATCTTTGCGTGAAATGGAGGTATCTAATCAAATTTTCTTAGTGTATACTTTTATCTGAATGGAGAATTGTGTATCACATTTTGAATTTCTCAACTGATATATATTTTCAGACTGGTAGAACAAAGAGGTTCCTTCTATGCCCAAATTTAAATGATGTTAGTTTGACTCCCATATCTCATTCACTAACTCTGATATAGTTGGAAAATGTTAATCTCACCTAAGGGTTAAACAATCTTTGCTTAGTTGTCTTATGGTCTTTGGATAATTCCTCTGATGCTGAACATTTAATGCCACGGGCCACATGCATGATCAGATAGTTCTTGTTGTCTTTGTATAGTTTTTACAGGTTTTTGTTGTTAATAATTTGTCTTGTTAGCACTCCTTAATTCAGTGCTCTAATGATCTCTATATTCATAAACTCAAAATTAATTCAAAGCATTTGAGCTGATAAAAAAAAGCACTTGAGCTGATTAAAAAAAAATTTTCAACGTATTTCAAGCATATATTGTTTAATGATAAGATGTTAATTATGGGTAGAATCGTGCAGGAAGAAATGGGGAGACTAAAATCAGTAGTGGAAGAACAAAACAAGCCAGCATCAGAGGAAATGCTACGGGATTCAATACAGCCTCGGTCGACGTGCGCTGAAAGAAAGACAACAGAGTTGATGCATAAGGAAAAGGAAAAGGGGGCAAAATCAGGGGAGGAACAGAACATTAGTCAGATCGAAGAAGAAACCCAACCACCAGCACCAGCAACGATAACAAAAGCAGTGGAAACGACGGAGAACAAAGCAGCAAAGATAGAAAGGCTGAAGAGTGGATTCAGGATATGCAAGCCACAGGGGAGCTTCCTCTGGCCAAACATGGCCCTGTCTCCACAGGTTGTGGTCCCACTCGGTGGCCTCCTTGCGGTCCACAATCCACCTTCTGTCTCCTCCTCCACCGCATCAGAACAACAACGCCCCAATTCAACGGTCAAACCATTGGCTGAGTGGCGGCCAGTGAATGTCTCTTCATCACCCAAATCTGTCAAAGCCACTCCTCCACCAAGCCCTCGTCTGCCTTCTCCTGAGACCACCCCAACTACTATCATTACCACCAAAACCACTCTCATCAACCTCAATGAAATCCCTGGAAACAACAATAAAACTAGAATTTTTGGCTCTTCAAATCCTAGTCACAGCACAGCCTCTGCAGTCACCTACCAAAGAAGACATCAGAATGTAATCACTTCCATCACTATGCCACATGTAAGTGCCTCAAACAACACCCTCAGAATGTTTATCCCTTCTATCTTCTTTCCATTTTTTCTGCGAGTTAAGACTGTAGAAAATAACACCTGGCATCTTTTTGCTCTCTTGAACAGTTGGTGCCTGCTAAGAAAGAGAATAAAATGGGGCAACTGAATGGAGGTGATTCTCAGCAGCAAAGGAGATGCTCTGCTTCATCTCCATCCAAGTCAGTTGGAGCAAAAACATGGTGGGCTCTTCCTAACTCTAGCTCTTCATTGAACAACAATTAGTAGTAAAATATCCAATAGACCTCATCACATTTTAAACTATTATTAATTAGAATTCATTGATAACATTCGAAGAAAGATGGGTTTTATTTTATCTTGAGATTTAAATTGTTCTTAGATGCTGCTGGTAAATGCTTTTGGCTTCAGACATTGTCTTATTATATAATCTACTTCCAAGCATGTAAAACAAAATTATATATGGATTACATAATTGACAAACAACTTTTTGCTTTTGGAGATTAATATATAGATCTCAAGCTTTTTCTTTGGCTTCATTTGCACTTTTTTCTTTGTTTGAAATGAAGTTTTAAGTCATGAAGATGGTAATAGCTCAGACATATATAGCAAGCATAAAGAGTCAAATTGCAAGGCAAAGTTAAAGCCATATTCTGTTCTCCATGAATGTGTTTATTATCTACATTATTGAAATTGAAACTTGTCCTAAAGAGACAATCCAAGGAAAAAAAAATGAAGATATTAGAGCGTAGAATATATAGTGGAGCTATGGTCACAATTGTCTTGGAAGTTAATGTAACGTGAAAGCGTAGCTGCGAGCTTCTTTACATCTTGTGTGTGCTGCGCTCAGAGTAACCTGCAACCTAAAGAAATTTGTAAGAGCTTCATTCTAATCAGAGGGTAGGGATACAAGACACATCAATGAAAGATATGATAGAGCTTAAGGTGTTAACCATTTACGCCCAATCCACATTCAATAAAATGCACAATCATAATGAAGCATGAAAAACCTGCATGAGTTGGAAGGAACAGTTGAGGGTCTGATAGTGGTCACATGAAACCAGATTTCAGCAATTCACTATTCGAGGTTTCACAAAGATGGTACTATTGAGCTATGATGAATTGATGAAAAATTGAGTGAACACCCTATGACTTGCAGGGCTTTTTCCTCACTTCCTGCAACAAGTGATATAATGATGGAGATTCCAGTCGAAGCCTGAAATTCTTGCACTCGATCCCAAACCGCCTTTCTGTGCCATGTTCCCTTTTATAGCACAATTATAGCAGCTGCTTTATGTTGTTACCTATATATTCACCAAGAAGGCAAAGACTACCATTGCGAAAGGCATGATCAGTTTCTATATCAAGAATAATCATACAAGAGATATATTTCTATCATGTCTAGAGTTTTGAGAACATTCATATACATTTATGGCAAAGTTACATACAGATTCACTTGGGCATGGAGGCACGCAAGGCAGAATGGAATTACTAAAACCGTTTAGCAACAGAAGTCTACCATAAACCTTAAACGTATTACATAAGAAGATGGAAAATGGAAAGTATAAGGTTTGAATCACTTTCAACGAAACAATTATGAACTGTACCATGTGCAGAGACGCAGCAACCAGAACTGGTGCAGCAGTTGAAAATATAAAAGAATGAACCCTTGAGTAAATGAGTTGCTTCCACCTTTTGCGGTTCATATGAAGTCAAACTGGCATAAGTAACTCTCTTATGTTCCAGTGTTAGGACAGGGAAATTTGCAAAACAAGTGTGCACATCCACTAGCATTTTTCAAATTTCAGATTTTCTATGTGATTTGGGAACTGCAAGTTCTGCGATTTCATTGAATTGTTTTTACCCAGAATTAGAACAATATTGAGACCTAGAAATGTCCCAAAATTAGAATTTGAAAATAATATATAGTTTCAATAACAAGTGATATTGTAAGCTGATTTAATGATATGTGTGGGGGTGGCAAAAATCCACATGACCCGTTAACTCAACCTTAACTCAACTCTAAAAATAAATTAGGATCTACATATTCCAATTCATAACCCGTAGACCAATAATCTCAATTCGTACGGGTCACGGGTTGAATTAGGATTAACTCGTTGGTTGACCGGTTGATCCGTTTGTTTTATTTATTATTATTATTTTTTAAAAAATATTATACTTATTATTATTAATTAATTTTCCTATTATTAACCATCTCCGTTAATTCATACTCTTCAACCTCGTTTCTATTACTTAAATGGTTTTAAACTTATTTTGTATGTTTACTCATCATAATTTATTCTTCTTTCTCTACAAATTATATGAGTTTGATCTGATTACCAAATATCATAAATGAAATGATAATACAACTACAAATATTAAAGATGTGATGCTATGATATAAATATAATAATTTAGTGAAAGATGTTTTTGGAAGAGCAATTTCATCATTTAAAAAAGCGCTTAAACTCCTTGATAATGTTTCAAAATGATTGTAAAATTAAAATTTTATTTTCTAAGAAATTTAAATATTTTAAGTTTAATATTGTTAATTAACTTATTGTTCTTTATAACTTTATGATTTTTTCTTAATTTAAATGTTTGTGGTTGAGATCATAAAATATTTAGTGTTAATGAGTTACAATACTTTAATTAAATTTAGATATAACTAATTTTATTTGTATATAATAAAAATAATTATAAAGAATGAAAATAAGGTCAACTCATGAGTTAACTCGTAACCTGCTAAGGTCGAGTTATGATTAAACTTTTTCAACCCATAAGCTGTTTATGACCCAACTCGTATAACCCATCACCGAGTTGACCCAACTCAACCCGCTCGTTTGCCAGGCCTAGATACATCACATTCATTTGATGCCATGCCATAGATGTAAGCGTATAATATTACATGGATCTTGCCATGTCATGTCATGTAGAGATGCCTTTCCAAGCAAAATTGACTAGTGTTATAAGTGGTAGATTTTGGAATTGGCCTCTTGCTAAATCTCCTAAGTTGGTGGAAATCCAAATACCTCTTTTTGATGTTCATCCTAGGAAAGGTGAAAATGATTTAGTTATTCGGGTGCTCTACCCTTCTAGATGTTTCAAAATTGGTCAGATTTGGCATTGGTTGAGAAATAAACAGCCCAAGAGGGCATGGCATAAACTTTTTTGGTTTCCCCATGCCTATTACTAAACACAACTTCATAGGTTGGCTAGCCATACTTAACAAATTGACTACAAAAGCAAGACAAAACCAATAGACCCCTACTATCTCAGATACTTGTATCCTATGCAACAATAGTTTAGAGACATTTAAGCATTTATTCTTTAAGTGCAGTTATGCTAGTAGATAATGGAGGCAAATTAGTACCATGATCAGTATTCCTTTTGTGGACTCTTGGTAGGGTTTGTTACTTTGGATGGGAAAAAGGATCAAAAGGAAATCCTTGCTTAGTATTTTGATCAAGCTTTCATGGTGAAGCCAAGGCAAACAATATCAATAGTGAGGTGGGTCGTTACAAATGCTATTAAAGCCACTCTGTGTGGCCTCTTGAATGGTGGTGGAGCAAACTTTAGCAAGAATGCTAAGTCCTGAAAAGGAGTGTGTATGTGACATCTTAGACAAATCCTATACTAACAAAGTGCAAGAAAAATATTGGGTATATAGGTCATCACATGTTACATCTATTCACATGTTTTAAAATTGTAAAACCCAAGTAACTGAAACAGACAGTGTCAATAGTAAACTAGGTTATTATAGATAAAGTCTCTTTCTTTTTCTTTTTCTTTTTTAACATGGGGGAATTTAGAGGAAAGAGGATTGGTTTTACTAAGATTAAAACCAACTTCTTAATCTCGGTAAACTTACATCCTATCCAACGTAACTAATACTGTGGGTGCCAAAAAAAAAAAACACCTAAAAAACCTGTACCCTATCCCTGTCTTGGATTATTAGACTGCCAAACAGCCAACGTGTGTTGTTGATAGGAATTAGGATATTCATACCCTTGGATTAGCCCAAGGACCACTCGCTGACATATAAAAAATAGACACGGCCTAATTGCTTTGAATACTTGTTGTCTTTCTAGCCAGACATAGCGCTGTTGAACCAAAAGCCATAAAGTGCCTGTTATCTTTCTACCGGCCATAGCTGTTGAACCAAAAGCCATAAAGACTAGGCATATCTGTGAAATTTAAGAAGTCGTGTTTTAATTAATGATGATGTTTGTTTCTCTTTTTATTGAAAGAAATTTAATTTATTAATAAAATTAATAAAAAAATAATTTTTTTATAAATTTTTTAATTTTAGTGTATATAATTTTTTTAATTAAATTAAAAAAGATTTATTCAAATTTAATTTAAAATTTTATCTTAAAATACATATAAATTAATTTAAAAATAGTTTAACTATTAAATGGAAAAAAAAAAAAAGGAGCTGTGCTACTAAATGTACAAATTAGCAATGTTGAAAAAGATATTGTTCATGTAAAACAAAATAATATTTTTCTTAGTCACCACGATATTTTACTTTCATTTGACAATATTTTATATGGATAGATTTTTTTTTTTTTACACTGAATCTATTTTTAAAATTGGAAATGTAAAGTTTTTATTTAATTTTAATTACTTTTTATTCACTTTTATTAATATTTTATACATTTTTAAAATAATACGACAAAAAAACAAAAAAAAAACAAAATAAATACAACTACATTGTAACACATCATAGCAATCTCAACAAAAGTCTTATTTTTTTTTTGCAAAATAATGGTTACAGAAGGTATTCCATTTCTTTTGTCTTTTCTCATTTCGTCTTTTGTTTGTCTGATGGCGAAAGTTCCATGGAAATTATTGATAAAATAATTTAACCTTTCTTTTTATTCAATGCCGATAAAAGAAGGTTTTTATATTCAATTCTCTTGTAATACCTGAATTCATTTAAAAATTTCCTATTAGTTTTAACTATTCAAATGTGATTGATCCTTGATAATTAATACTTAATAGCTTAAACAATTGCTATTTTTAGTCAATATTATTCATCATATTAGAGACCAAGAGTTAAAACGAAGGGGCATAATGAAATAAATAATTAAATATAGCCCTCTCTTTGAAAAAGAAAATTCATTTTTACCAATATTAAAATTTGAACCTTAAAATATTAATATAGAGGCTCAAGTTTCAGTTGGTGGAACATCCCCTACACAAATTTTGTCTAATCTAAATAACATTCAGAATTTATTTACACATGTTTACGTAAGTCTTACTTAAATCTTTAGTAATTGATTTTCAAATCCAAATATCGAAAATAATGATGTTATATTTGAACCTTTATCTTAAGTAATTTTTTACCTTAAATTATATAATAAAAAATAATTCTCTTTTATTTTTTAATTCACTCCACACCTATTTATCTCAAAAAATTATATTTAAGAATTTAGTAGTAAATTTATGTAGAACTCATACACTTGTAAATGTGGCTTTTCACTCTTAAAACAATAATAGTCCTGTCATAAATTCGGCTACTTTTATTGAAGTCCAAATAAACAAAAGCGTTGAAAAAGGAGGGATTGGATTTTCAAAGTAGGAAGATAAACAACAAAGAACAAATTAGGGCCCAAACCCAAAGCAAAGCTTCCATGTGAAATGCATGGTCCATTGCATTATCTTTTTTCATTCTTTTTATTCCCAAACAGATGCAAAGCTAGCAATGTCTATCACCCACAACTATACATGTGATGTCGACGAGGAGCCCGCCCTTTAAAACAGAAAGCCGAAATCTCTTCTTACGCTTCTTTTTTGAGGTATGAACATGGTAGAGAACACAAACCTAAAGTTCTTATTCACTGAGTTGTAACTTGTAACTTAATTTATAAAAAGTTTGTTTCTATCTTATTAATTAAAATTAAATTTTTGAAAAAAAGTTTTTTATTAAAAAATAAATTTATTAATGAGAGTATAAGAAATAATCAATTCTTACATAATTTATATGTACCAAAAAAAAAAAAACCTTACATAATTTATGAAGGTGAATGAGGAATTAAGTACATCTAAACTAACATGAATTTTATAATTTTGGTGCGAATTATATATGTTTTATCTAAATACACAGATTAACATAAAAACAATTCTAAAAGTAAAAAATAAAAAATAAAAACAAAAAGGTCTGATATTTTTTTACGGTAGGTAGAATCCCAAAGGTTAATGAAACAGACATTACTCTAGAGGACCTATGATTCAATTTTGACCCAAAATGTAGGGGGCTAGGGGCCCCTTTCATTGTGTAATAAAAGCAAACACCTGCCCTTCTGAATTTTGTGCATCTCCTCACTCCACCTCAAAGTGGTACACAACATCAAGCCCCTCCTCTCTTTCTTCCTCTCCACATTTCTTCTTCATGGCATCAAAGGACTTCACACGCTTTAAGCAATCTTCCAAGAGGGAGAGATCAAAGAAGTTAGTAGAATCGACATCAAAATACGGTGTCAAGAGTGCCCGTAAGGGAAAAGCCTTCCAGAACCCAACTTACCGTGGAGTAAGGAAGCGCAGCTGGGGCAAATGGGTGTCAGAAATTCGTGAGCCGAGGAAAAATTCAAGAATTTGGCTCGGAACATACCCCACTGCAGAAATGGCAGCTCGTGCACACGATGCTGCTTCTCTAGCAATAAAAGGTCACTCTGCTTTCCTTAATTTTCCGGAGTTGGCTCACACACTACCTCGTCCAGCTAGTGCCTCACGGAGCGACATTCAAGAGGCGGCTAAAAAAGCAGCCAATCAGTATTCAAGATTCAAACCTCAAACTTGTAACAAGACCATGATCTCGAATCTAACTCAAGATTCTTTGTCTTGTCAATCAGTTGATACTGACAGCATGTGGTGTGACCTCCCTGACCTCTCTCTGGAATCCAACCTTGGTAAAAGGTTTGGTTTTAGTCTTTGGGGGCAACAAAATGAAGTTGATCACCCTGAATTCCAATTCGAGGAAACGTTTTGCTTCTGGGATCGATCATCATTACTAAAAGAGACAAAGATTCCAGTTTTACGCGATCTACCGTCTTAAAAGTTTATATACAGGTATGATTTCTGTATATTATGGAGTATAATATAGAGTGGTAATATTCCTTGTTTTCTTTTCTCCTATGCATGTGCAATTGTTCGTGTTTCTTTCATGAATTCCTAGGGTTTTTTTTTTTTTTCTTTTTTGGCGGAAGGGGGAAAGAAGAGCACCTGGGCTTTAATTTATAGGTGTGTTTTTCTGCCTAATAATGTTTGATTTGATGGAAAACCTCTTAAGAGACCTCGCGTTCGAGATTTGAGAGGCAGAGCTTGCAAATCAAACTGATGCTATGTTTGATATTATTGTGTATTTGTATTGTATTGTAATTGTAGTTGTTAAGTTAATTAATTTTTATATGTTTTAAGATTAAATTTCCTCAAATAATTTTAATAATGTATCTTTGTATATGTGTTTAAAAAAATTAATTTATATTTAAATACTGATTTTAAAATTTAAATGTTAAGTTTAACTTATAATATGAATATTTATTTATAAATATATATATAATTTTTAGAAGTTTTGTGGTTGTCTCGTTGTTGTACTGTGCTGTTTACAGAAGGAATATTTGGATACAATTTATTTGATGGAAATG